CAATTTATAATATTCTTCACAAACCTTTCAATCCTTACATTGTTTTTTCATCATTGACCAATTTGAAGGCATCTTATTAAATCCCAACAAAGTGTTGTCCAAATCCATTTGAACAAGCACTGCTAGCATCTTTGCTTGCCATAACAAAAATCTAGCACTGTAATCCAAAAGCGGAATATCACACATCAGGTTTGCCATCACAAGAACAAGACCTCGAACCAATCAAACCTTAAACTCTGATACTACTTGTTAAGAATTAAGTACGAGATTATATAGTACAATATAAAGTAACAATCACAATACTAGAAAAACATAAGAACAATTGGTAGTGGAATAGAGTATTTATAAATATGGAGAAAGATACAAAGAATATTGTATTTAGAATATTGTCTAACTCTCTAAAACTCATACAAAGTCATACATTCGTGGAGTATATATAAGACCTAAGAGAATATGTTTTAGATGGAAATAGCATAAAAAACAAGCCAAAAATGAAAATAAAACTTTTTCAAATAAAGCCGCCGCTCGAACGGCAAACTCGTGCCATGCGAGCGGTGCACGACGCTCAAGCAGAAGCCTGGCTCCAAGCGAGTGGTAGCCTGGTGCTGCAAATGGTGCTCAGACGTTGAGTTTTGGTCCCAAAATACGTTTCTTGGATCCTAGGCACCCGAACGCCCAGTTGTTGCTCCAAACTTTCAATTGTCAACGTTGATATCTCTTTAACTCGTTTTTCAATCGAAACCCGAACTAACGTCAGAATTTAGGTCACATATTCGACAATTATCAATTTAGCAATTTCGGTTAGTTTGAAGAAAATATTTGATATCATGCACAAATCTAAAACTAAATTGAAGTTTGACTCAATTGAAATTTTGCTCAAAAATTCGTTTAAGCGACAATAGTTGGTACGAAGAGAATTAACATGAAAACAATTTTCTTAACTGAGACTATCTTGTACCAATTTTCACATAAAGAAGGCTTCATAAGAATCTAGAAAACCTCTCAAGATTCTTCAAAAACTAGCTATAAATCCCATTCTCTCTTTTAAAATCATTTTCATTTTTGATATATACACACACACGAACACAAGTGGGTGGATCAAGAAAATGGATGATACTAGTGGCAAGCATCTGAAAATAGGCATTTACAAGGACAAATTTTGATTTCATCATACTTGACTAGTTTGAAATCGGTTATGGGCATATCCTAGGTGTAGAGCCGGACATGGTCCGATTCGATTTAATAAGTGGAACCATCAGGTCCAAATTTAATTATGGAACCGATCGGGTTCGATTTCACTCGATTCCCGATTTTCGTACAATAATTAATTTTTTAAATATTTATAACAAGGGCACATTAATTCAACTAATGATATGTTTAACTTTAGCTCTTATAAAATAACGTAGTCTAATACTGTGATATCTTTTGCGCCTCTCTTTGTTGAGTTCTTCATAGATTTAGCATTTAAAATCACAGGAATGGGAGAATAGCGATCTCACAATAATGAAGAGAGGCACAACCAAGCTTCCAATTTAATTTCTCTAGAACGGCACTAAGGTAGAATAAAAGATTTTGGTAAAGTTTAGGTCAATTTGATTAAGTTGGGCTTGGACTTTAAATTAGAAGTAGGAAAAATTATTTTTTGTGTTTGAGTTAAATTAATTATTTTTTATTTAGGAAAAAATAAAAATAATTTGGTTTATTTAAGATAAAAAAATTAGGGAGATTCGGTTTTTATTCGATTCTTGATCTAGAATTGAAAACCGAACCAAACCCGTCGGTTCTCGATTCAGATACCCATTCGAGTATTTAATTTAAGAAGAACATCTCGGTTTGGTTGGTTCGGTTCGAAAATTTTGTCCAACCCTAACCAGGTGCAGTTGAACTATTTGTTTGTAGCTTCGGACATGGGGAAGGCATTTGGATGGTGTTCAGGGATTTCCCATTGTGGCCTATTATGTTCAACCAAAAAAGGATTGGGTTGGGGGCGAAGGACGGTAGGAGGAACCTTATCAATGCCTCTTCAAGTCTATTGCTACGACTCCCCGAAATATACTATTTAAGTCTTTATTTATTGCCTTATATCCTATGCCTTAGTCCTAGATTTCCTTGCCAAATTTTAGCTCAGGCATCCCCTGTTTGCTTGCTCAAGCACTGAACTTTTGTAGGTATTTCTATGGTGTTTCCTAGCTGGTTGTAGCATTTGCTGGTTTAATACGGTGTGTCACGTTTTGTGCATAAAAAACTTTCCAGCTAACAGGCCACTTGCCTTGTCACTTAGTGTCAGTTTCAATGGCGTTAGTGCAACTCTATATAATCTCATTGTGAATTCCATAACCCTAACGATGACTCGTTGCATCTTCTTCTCAATGCCATTGTTCCACTTATCACGTCACTTGTTGCTCTTCTTCCAATTGCCCGGCAACCTATTCCCGATGCTCATCTACCTGACGCTGTCCGTTCTAAGACTGTTATTTTTCTCTAACTGCACTTGCAGTTGTCACGGCCATTTATCTTCTACTTATAAATTCTGTATCACTGAATGCATCAATTGCTCGTATACTCTTAGGTGGGGCAATGTTTTTCTTAGTCCTTCCATTGATTACACCTGGCATTCTCTATCCTCGGGAATTGGCCAGTCAAACACTCCATTCAAGCTTCAATATGATCAATAATGTCAATCTTGATGTGCATAGAGATCTAACGGAAATGGAGACTCCACTCACCCATGATATCTTGTATAGTGGCTCATATAATTCAAAACAGAAAGAAGGAAGCTGCAGCAATGTGTTATTCAAAGAAAACTTGATTGTGCTTGGAGAGGAACGCTTGGTTAGGTTCCTCATTCATCGATGGGATTTCTGGCTTTATTACATAGCATATTTCCGTAGGGGAACAATTGGGCTGATTTACAGTAATAATCTAGGCCAAATTTCAGAATCACTAGGATATAATTCAGAAGTTAACACACTGGTTTCTCTCTATTCTGGTTGTTCGTTCTTCGGTCACTTACTTTCTACTACTCCAGACTTCCTACATGAGCAAGTATCCGAACAAACAATTAGCATACTGAATACAATACTTTGTGTTGTTACTAAATGCGTTTATTATTCAGAAAGGTATGCTGTGCGAGAACAGGATGGCTTGCTTTAGCCCTTGTTCCAACAACAATTGCATTCTTTCTGCTATCTTTATCAGGAGCAAGATAGCACTAATTGCTACCACAGCCTTGATTGGACAAAGTTCAGGTTTCATTTTTTCTGCTGCAGTGTCGATACATCAGAGCTGTTTGTGTTAAGTGTAGCACGGTATTTTTACTGTCAATCCACTATACTTTTTGTAATCATCATTACCTGAGTTACTAGTACATGTTTGGTAGTATATTTTTGAATTATGGACTATGTACGGTATGGTGATAAAGCTGTCAAATGCAATGTCTTGTAGTATGTGAAGTATGGAAGACTATTTGTACTTAAATCACTTCGTAAAGTTTATATATATTAATGAAG